CCCCCCCTCTCTCTCTCTCTCTCTCTCTTGCAAACATTTTTTATAAGTTTTTCAATGTTTTATCTGATAATATTTGCACGTCGTTGGTCACAGGTGCCGTCTACAAACTACCAGTCCAGCTTGGAGCGAACAGAGTCAATAACTGCTGATAATATTGTTGGCAACAAGGGTAAGTCTGCAAGAAGAACAAAAAAAAAAAAGCAAAAAAAAAAAAAAAGCTGACAGGAGCTTATGGTCATGACTCAGTTTTACTCTTAGCGACAGTAGCATTTGCAAGGAAAATGAGCAGAGCGAATGACAGAAACCAAATTGCATTATCCCATAGAAATCCCGATAGTTATGTGCTCGAACTGAAAGCAGATTGCGACCCGAGATAATTGACGATGAAAGCCCTCACCTCGTCTCCAACATCACTGTCCACAATGTTGGTCTCCTATATGGCGCTGCGCCCAGACTACATACAACCAGACCACCTATTACCTAGACTTTAACATGAAGACAACAGGTCTTCATGAAGATCAGCAGCCTGATGACGAATGAAGATTCCAACTATGGCGGCCCACTCATCATCACCAGCTAAGCGCCCACATGCCCCGCTCATCCCTCGACTTCCCCCACGTCGCTCATCACCCAAGAACCACCGTCCAACCTCCCAGGCTATGGCGCCAGCAGCCCGGCTATGGCTGCTGCTGTCCACTGTCCAGGCTGCGGCCTTGCAGCTTCTTCCTCACGCCCCGTCAGCGCCCTTCCTTACTCTGCCCAACCTTCCTTCAGGAAGCCAGCGCTCCAGCAGCGCTGCCGCCGTCCAGCCAGCCAGAATGTGTCGAAGTGAGGGAGCTCACTTTTGTGCTCTGGCTGGCTGGGCGAGGCAGGCGCTGGACGCTCAGCCTCTATCCCAGTAGCTGCGTCCAGGGCCCTTCCAGAATGTGCCTGGGGCTCAGCATCTTTTCTGGGCCCAGAATCTTCAACTGACTGGGGCTCAGCATCTTTTCTGGGCCTTAGCATCTTCAACCGATTGGAGATACCGGTCCATTGGAGATGCTGTGTGCAGCAACCAACCCATGACCCCCTGCCTTCTCACATTGGCCACAATTTCACGCCTTGACTTGGGGCGGGCGCAGGCAGTTTGGAGTGGGCGCAGGCCCTTTCCAGCCTAGGCCGAGGGCCTCATGCCTTGCACTTTCCTGTTTCCACCAGCAAGTCAGTGGACCTCACCATGCCACACCACTGTCGAAAGGAAAAAAGTACCAGTGCGTCTTCCATAGAAAGTGGCAAGACGCATCCATTGTTTGCAATAAATAGTATTTGATGCAGCTTGCTACTTTCTCTGAAAGGTGCACTGGTATTGTTTCGTTTCCACATTAGTGTGGCGAGGCCCAATCAAAAAAAAAAAAAAAAAAACCAATAATGAGGCAGAAGTGGACCGGCAAATTTGATTCAAGTATGGAAGAAGTCTATTATTTTCGTTGTTTGCCATTTCGACAGTTTTCCTTTTCTCCTTATGAAGTTGGGACCCTTTTCTACATGGTTTACTCTGTAACATTTTCTTTTCTTGTCCTTTTTTTGTCCATGGACAACAGACACGAAAGAGCAGAGAAGCGGTATAGCCCCCATGCCCCCATCGCCCTAGAGACGATACAGGAGGGGCTGGAAGAGCTACGCAGTGTCGCATGCCCGTTCCCGCCCAGGGCCCGCATAGTGGTCGGGAAACCTTTATGCAGTATCCAGCCGCACACTATGCAGGTCCCAGAGCGGCAGGTTAGGGGCACCACCGAGCCTTTCCTGCACGCACTCCCGTGTTCGTCCAAGATCGAGTTCGCTATCAGCTCATCCAAGATCAAGTTCCCTATCAGTTCCAATCTGCGCTATTTGTGACTATTCACTATTCATACCTTTCCTTCAAACCGAGTCCATTCCCATACCTCTCACCCACGCTTATTTACGCCCTCGATTTTGGGACATCTCCTTTCATAGGTACTACTGCGCTTTATTCCCCAGAACAGCAAATCACTTCCCACTGCCTCTAAAACTTGGGTAAACCCTTTCAGCGCTCCTATCCCCTGTCCTTGCAATCTCCCTGCCATCTCCCAGCTTTTTCTCTGTGCTATGCATCTCCCTCTATATTGACCTGTAGCATTTTCAAGCCAACGTGGAGGAATGTCTGTAGTGGCAGTCCTACTACAGACATGGGCACCACGACTCAACATCGGCAACTATGGGGGATGGGTGGTTGTGGGCAACTACGGGGGACGGGTGGCTGGACCGCCTCAGCTACAGGGGCAGAAGGGGGAAAGACGCAGATAGAGACACAGTAGCACAAAAGACGAACCCTTAACCTATGGTTTTGGAGACCATTGTTCTACCAAAAGAAGGTACTGGGAACAAGGATGTAGAGGATAGATGGTGGTTAACGAGGGCAGTGCCCGCACTCTACAGACAGTAGTCTTCTGTCTTCCAATGACAATGTGTTGAACAGGGGTCTGCCTGCACCAGCCCAAGGATTTTCATGGCAACTATCGGGGGCGGTTGGTTGTACCCCTCTGGTACACGTACAGAGAGGGGAATGAGGCAGATCGAGACACACAGTGGACATCAAGGGCAATGCCAACAGCTTGCTTATAAGCAACACAGACTCAACAGCAGGCACTGGGAACAGGGATGTAGAGGATAGACAATGGACACCAAGGGCTATGCTCACAGCTTACAAACAGCAGTGCTTCTGTTTTCCAATGCCATCAGGCGTACAATGAGGGACGCAGGATCCCGGGTTCCAGCAGGTGCAGCTCCCCGCCTATAGATGGAGTCTTCTACTGGAGGGCCACTAGGGGAGAGAGGGCTCTTATCACCTCCCCTAGTGTTGGCCCTATTGGAAGTTCAAGAACAACAACAAAGAAAAAAGCATTTTCAAATTCACATTCTGACACACTTTGACTTTTTTTTTTTTTTTTTAAGACCATGCTCCAATCTATATTCGTGGGGAGCAACATGCGCTGGAAAACGGGCCCAGCATCCCTCATGAAAAGTCCATATAGAACAAATTAAGATACAGGGGCCACTACCCTGCTTCACCTGAGAACAATGAAGAGAATTGAGGAAAGCTCAAAGAGATTCATGATCTGCTACTAAAGGGGAACACCAGAAAATTCTTAATCTAGTACTAACCTATAGCCATATTTGACAATGATTTTTAACTATTTTTAGCCATCTTCCCTGAAATCTTCCCTTGCTCGACGCAGGTCTAGCATGACGCTGTCCTGCAAGAGCCTGTTCCCTGTTGGGCCCAGGGCGGCTGTGTGGGGCACGGTTTATGTCAGGAGCGTCGTTCCTGTTTTTTTTCGGACGTTTTATGGGGCGTCGTGTCGTTTCATTCTTGCCTCTCCTGGGAGCAAGGGCTGGCGTCGCGTCGTTTCATTTTGGCCTCTTCTGGAAACAAGGGTCAGCGTCGCGTCGTTTCATTTTGGCCTCTTCTGGAAGCAAGGGCCAATGGGATGTTGGAATACGAGTACATAGAGTGCCCCCGCCAGGAGAAAAATATATCCTATCCCGCCGCTAGATGGCTCGCTCCGCAACAGAGAATCCTCCACTGGAACATGGGAAGATACACCGCCATATGTGCCTCTTGGTCTCGAAACTTGTTATCCCAGGTGAGTAGTAGGTTTTCATGCCTGAGCGGCGCCGCGTAGGTGCTGGGTTCTATTCCCGTTGCCGTCACTTTCCGTGGCCTAAGAAGGATTGGTGGCCACGGCCAGTCAACACTGGGCGAGTTGTGCCGCCCTGTAACCTGTTGCAATGCAGGAACATCGGGCCAAGTGGAAGTGGCTGCTCAGGTCCTGCTGCGGCCGGTCGGGACACACCCGATACACATCCAATAAAAGAGCTCTCAGGTTGAGTTCTCAGTCAGAATCATCATAGCTGACATTCATAATTACAATGCTGATTAGGGTTGAGACCCTCAATTTCACGATATTTCCAGAGGCTTAAAAAAACTCTCAACATACCTGTCACAACATAAGCTCAATAAGGAAGCTCAATAAGTCATGATCATGACCTATAATCTACAACAATAACTTCCATAACAATCTCGAATTACCCGGGCCCGGTCACCTGTGGATATATCTCAAGACTGCCGCCCTTTTTCAAAAAAAAAAAAAAAAAAAAAGAAGTGTATCTGTACAGAGGCACTCTCTCTCTATTGGAGGGCCCCTCGTCCCAACCCCAGTCCCTACAATCCACTGGTAGCTCATGTGATGGTATCGCAAGAGAAAATGGGCGCACTTTCTCCGGGTAATCCAGCACACAGATGGGAGTAAGATCATCTCCCAGGGGTAAAGGGATAGGGTTGTCAGTCCGAGGTCAAGGGAGGACCCAGCGAACTAGCACAAGGCAACCCAAATCCAACTAGACGCCTGCACATGATTATCGTCATTCACTGACTCCACTTTGCAAACGTTAATCGGTTCCCAGTCCAGCCGACTTCTTTACCAGCCGCCCGGTCTAATCTGTGATCCAGTTCTGAGAACTTGCTGCCAGGGCTCAGGTATTGCTTGCTACAAAGCCTGCAAGTGTTGGGCCTGGTGCCATAGCTCATCTACTTCGAGTGGAGTTCAAACTCAGGTCTGTATTTCAACAATGCAGGGGGTTGACTGAGCTTGGCCAGTTCTGAGATCTTTTTATATATTGCAATATCTTTTTATACATTGCAGCATTGCGCACTGTTCTTTTTCTTCTTTTCTTAATCCAATAGAGTCACAGTGTTTGTGCTTTGTCTTTGCTTAGCTCGGAAGATTTTCATGACCGTGGACCTCATGATGCCCGGAGCCTCTGACGCCCGGGATGCCCAGGCAAGGGTGAAAAAAAATAGGAAAAAAAAAAAAATGGCGGTGGGGGTTTTCCGTGCTCTCAGAGAGGAGCCCAAGTCCGGGCTCTTTTCTTTTTTGAGTGTTGGCTTTAAAGGGGGGGAGGCAAGGGGGGTATAAATTATTTTCAAAAGGGCTAAAGGGGTTAAAAGGGGGGTGCCTTGGTGTGATTCGGTTATTTTCTTTTTTATCTTCAGTTCCGTGAGGAATTCTGATGTCACCCTCAACCGAAGTTTGTTCATATTGCAATTCTACAAAACGTTTTTTTTCCAGACTTTTTTGGATTTTTTTTAAGGAAGATTTTCATGCCCAG